TGCCCCCCATGTCTGCGCCCATCACTACGCTGGTGTGTGCTGCCCCCCAGTGTGCGTGGAGCACTCACGGGCGACAGGGACAGTGGAAGGGGAGAGCAACCTACCCCGCCACCCCCCACACCTTCACCAGTCACCACCGCCTCTGCCGGGGTTGCTGCCGCAGCTGCCGCTGCCTCTGCTTCTCCTGCTGCCCCTGCTGCCACTGCTGCCCCTGCTTCTCCTGCTACCTCTGGTGCATCTGTCACGCCCAGCCCTCCTACCCCTCCGCATTCACCAGCGCTGCCTCCGCCTCCCCCGTTGTTTCCGCCAATGTCTTTCTGCGCCACCCCATCGCCGCAACCCGCTCCCTTCCCCGCCTTTTCCGCGCAGGCGCGCTGGCAGGGAGGGGTGGCGCGACACGCAGCGGGGGAAGCTGAAGGCAGAGCGGGGGGAATAAGGAGCGCGGCGCAGCAGAGGCAAGGGACGAGGATGGAGCCGCAATGCGCGCAAAAGAGTCTGCAGGCGGCGGAAACGACGGAAGAGTCGCGCGCTACAGGGGCGGGCTGAGCACATTGGCGCAAACCTTCCCCAGGCGCCCCCGCAAAGGACGAACCGGGTTCGTATACATTCCCACGATTCCACGACGGAGAAGCGGTAATATTATTGTGATTAAAACGCGAGGGCGAGTCGATACGCGCATCGGACGAGTCGTGGTGGGCAGTCGGATCGCGAGGCCAAATCGACGGCGGGGGCGGAAGGGGGGTAATGTCTGCTTGAGCGTGCGGGCAGAATCGCGCAATAGGCGGATCGCGGCAGGGGAAAGGGGAGGAGGACGACGGCGCGACGGCTGTGCCGCGGGAAGTCATGATGGGTGAGTGCGCTTAGAGCATGGAGGGGGGAGAAATGAAAATCGTCACGAAGACGCGTCGGTCGGAATAGTTAGGCCTGTGGAGTGGAAGGTGTGGGATGGGATGGGATGAGGAGAAAGTGGGTGACAGAAGTATTTGCCGAGCCGCTATCACATGCGCCTACTAGGGAAGTCAATCAACAGTGACATTCATTTCCTCTGAAATTGTAGGGTGCTGCTGCATCTTTTTTTTTTTTTTTTTTTTTTTGGGTTGCGAAGCAACCTATTACGATCGTTATGTACATTTTTTTTTTCATCCTCTTTACTTCAAAAAATAAAGGATGAAAAAAAATCTAGTGAACAGAAGCTAAGTGAAGTGACTGACTACTATGTATTTGCCACTTCAATTTACCACGTGCCGAACTACATTCCTTCTCATTTCCTAGTTTGCTTTGACTGAACCTGTATTTCATGAGTTGCCAAAATGATGTACTGTGAATGCGTAACTGTTTATTCCGTGATGCATATGTCGGATGATGTTATGCGTAGATGAAGTAAATGCAAAGTGCATAATTCCAATGCATGTGCTACTGTGGTAGTTAAATGAATGCATACGGTAGCATAATGGAAATGCGTAACACTTAATTGACCCAGACCCTATGCTACTGTTAGAATGAGAACGAGAATGGGTGAACTATGAAAATGAAGTGAGTACAAATATGAAACCCTAATTGGTTGTACCCCCTATGGGATACCCCACTATAGCCTACACAACAGCATAAGCTATAATGTTCTGACACACCCCCATAGGCAAAGTGGGGGAGAACAAGGGGTCACAAGACCAGTCAAGCAAAGCAAAGCAAAGCAAGCTCAGGGTGGATCACAAAGTCACCACACAGTCCGAGCACAGGGTCAAGGCCACACGGCCAGTTCACATGCAAGAGTACACACATATATATAAAGCTAGACAAGCAAGAGCAGGTATATAAATATGTGAGAGTACAAGCAAGGTCAAGAGGAGAGCAAGTGAGGCAAGACGGGCACAAGACCCAGCTGAGTGCAGAAGCGCTGATGATCACAAGGCGGAAGTGCCTTGGTGAAGACATCAGCAGTGTTGGCCTCAGAGGCCACGTACGCAAGCCGCAACTGTCCACGTTGCTGTAGCTCACGAGCAAGGAAGTAGCGGAGAGCAATGTGCTTTGTTCTGTGCTCCAGTCGCTGCTCTCGACACAAGGCCAGCATGGCCTTGTTGTCTACGTACAGGACTGGAGGAGAACGAGGCGGCTCTCCAAGGTCGGTCAGCAGGTAGGTGAGCCAGCGAAGCTCCTGTGCAGCCATGGCCCCGGCGTAGATCTCAGCCTCACAACTCGAGCCAAGAACAGAAGACGAGCGAGTAGCCCGCCACGAAACAGAGCCGGAACCAAGGCTGAAGGTGTAACCCTGTGACGACCGCTGCGTAGCCTGGTCGTCAGCCCAAGAAGCGTCCGCCTGCCCAGTGAGGACCACTGGACTCCGCCCTCCAAGCACTAGCCCCATGCCCGACGTACTGCACAAGTAGCGCAACACCCTCTTCGCTGCAGCCATGTGCTCTGGTCGGTGTCTCCCAGGAGCAACATAGCGTGCAAGAATGCTAAGAGGGTATGCAAGGTTAGGTCGTGTGCAGGTCATCAGGTACATGAGGCAGCCAACAAGCTCTGGGTACGGGCCACTCGACTCTACGGACTCATCCGAAGGCAGAGCTGAGAGCGAGTGGCGAGTAGACAGAGGAGTGGCCTGAGGCGAGGAGTACGTGAAGCCGAAGCGCTGAAGGACCTGCTGCACCATGTGTGACTGAGTCAGGGTAATGGTGCGGCGTGCTCTGTCCCGGGTGATCTGCAAGCCAAGGTAGCTGCGCAGTTCACCCAGGTCTGTGCACGTGTGTCTCTTCTGCAGCTCGGACTTCACGTAGGCGAGTCCAGCAGTGTCAGCTGTGGCAAAGACCAAGTCGTCGACGTACACGAGGATGTAGAACGGCGGCAGAGAGGTGTCGGTGCGTAGAAACAGCGACGGGTCGGCAGTAGAAGGAGCAAACCCAAGAGCCGCAAGCGTAGTCCTCAGTGTGTCATGCCACTCACGTGGCGCCTGGCGGAGACCGTAGACTGGACGCCGGAGACTCCACTGGGTACCAGGAGGGAAAGACCCAGTGAAGCCAGGTGGGCGACGCAGCCAGATCTCCTCGTGCAGGCTGCCCTGCAAGAAAGCTGTGCTGAAGTCAAGAGAGTGCAGCTCGTAGTCACGGTGAGAAGCAACGTGCAGCAGTACCCGAAGAGTGGTCATCTTCGGGGTGGGGGAGAAGGTCTGAAAGTAGTCAACTCCCTGCCGCTGACTGAAGCCACGAGCCACGTAACGCGCCTTGAAGACAGGCGGAGAACCCGGCGGCCGCTTCACCCTGAAGATCCACATGCCACTGACGATGTTCGCCCCAGGAGGGGGGACAGCGTCAACGTAGGTGCCTGTGGACTTCCAGGAAGCCATCTCTGCATCCATAGCTGCCTGCCACTGAGAGGAGTAGGGACCCTCTATCGCCTCTGCGTAAGAGCGCGGAGTCGGGATGTCAAGTGCATCCGGGTCTCCCTCAGGGGTAAGCAGTACGGACACGAGATGAGGTGAGGCAGCTGCCAGACAATGGAACTCCTCCTGCCTGTCCTCAAGGACGTCCGTGCCAAGGGCACACTCACCCCCGACGGACGGAGGACAGACAGACTCAGACTCAGCGACAAGACTAGCAGCGTAGTCTAAGCGACAGCGAGCAGCAAAGTCGACGAGCTCAGTAACGAGAGCAGACGCAGCAGTAGACTCGAAAGAAGGGTCAGTGACAACAGTAGCAAGGAGACGCGTGACAGTAGGACTGGCAGCACGAAGAGAGTCCGACTCCGGGTCGGCAAGAGCAGGAAGAGAGGACTCAGGAGGAGAAGGCAAAGGGGCACGCAGAGGAGCAGTGGACGGACGCAGAGACATCCGGTGCGTGCCAGGGACAGGAGGAGGACGCTGACGCGAACCGCGACCACTAGTGCGAGCAGCACGGACAGGCGACGCAGGGCGAGACGCAGGCTCACGACGCTCAGCCAGACCTCCAGTAGGACCAGTGTAGGGAGAAGGAGCAGGCAAAGGGGAGGTAGGCTGCAACTGTAGCTGGGACGAGACAGGCTGTGGACACTCTAAGGGAGGAGGAGGACCAGTAGAAGGTGGAAGACCAAGAACCTGCTGCAGGAGTGGAACGAATTACGGTCGAGGCCGCGCGGCGACGCTAGAAGCAGCAGGGACAGCACCAGAACCCTCAGCAGGAGCACCCGCTCCAGCAGCACCACCGGTAGCTCCAGAACCTCCAGTAGCACCAGGAGCACCCCCAGTAGGACTGCCAGCGGTAGTCTCAGCGCCAACACCCTCAGCAGCACCAGCTCCAGTGCACCCAGGACGAGCACCTCCGGGACCCGCGACCGCAGCACCCTCAGCAGCCGAAGGACCTCCAGCACCAGCAGCACGCCTCCAGCGCCGGGCAAACCACTCACGCAGCTCCTGTGGAGAAAGTGGCTCCCGGCGAGACGAAACACTCGGAGAACCTCCAGGCGGAGCACCTCCAGGCTCAGCACCCCCAGGCGGAGCACCCCTAGGCTCAGCACCCCCAGACGTAGCACCCCTAGGCTCAGCACCCCCAGGCTCAGCACCCCTAGGCTCAGCACCCCCAGGCTCAGCACCTCTAGGCTCAGCACCCCCAGACGTAGCACCCCCAGGCCCAGCACCCCTAGGCTCCGCACCCCCAGGTACAGCACCCCCAGCCTCAGCACCCTCAGCAGCACCAGAGTCACCAGTGACCTCGACAGGCTCGACTGCGTCTACCTGGGACACACCTGAAGGGGCAGGACCCTGAGGGGGGAGGGGGTCTACCTGGGGGGGACCTGGTACCAGGAAGAGTGGGGGTGGGGGGAGGGACGGAGTGCGGTAGGGGAAGAGGCGGTAGTAGGGGACCGACTCGTCAAACGTGACGTCCTGGGAGGACAGAACACGGCGAGAGGTGGGGTGGTAAAACTGCCACCCAGGCGCGTCAGGGGGGAACCCCAGGAAGACGCAAGGAGCAGCACGAGGGGATAGTTTGTCCGCAGACAGGTCGCGGACAAACGCCCGAGATCCCCAGACCCGGAACGCCGACGCATCGCCAACCTTCCCCGTCCACAGCAAGGCTGGGGAGGTCTCCGGCCTGGAGACCCTGGGGTGGAGGTTGATCTGATGCGCCGCGTACCTCACCGCAAACGGCCACAGAAAATGGGGGGCAGCCGCATGCATCATAGACGTACGAGCGACGTCCATGACCATGCCAATGCGGCGCTCAGCAATCCCATTTTGCTGCGGTGAGTCCGGAAGCGTGAAGGTCTGACGGATGCCCCGTGCACGACAGTAGGCACGCAGAAGGCCAGAGGAGAACTCTCCGCCTCTGTCCGAGTGCAGACGCAGAACAGGAAAGTCCGAGCCGAAGCTCTGCCTGAGCTGGAGACGAGCTGCGCGGATCCAGTCGATCAGCACCTCAGTGACATCACCCTTGCTGCGCAAGGGGAAGACTGTGGTGTAACGCGAGTAGTCGTCAACAACGAGCAGGAAGTAGCGCTCGTGACCCTGTCCACAGACGCGGGCTGGGCCCCACACGTCCATGTGAAGTGTCTGCAACGGGGCCTCTGTCGAAGGAAACTGGGAGGAGTGAGGGGCAGCACGCTGGCGCCCCTCGACACAGGGGACACAGGCAGGGCCAGGGCCCTGAGGAAGGGGAGGGAGGGACCGGGGGAGACCGGACACAAGAAGACGGGAGGCCATACCTCTGAGCCGAAGCAGAGAGGGGTGGCCAAGGCGGTGGTGCCAGAGGAGAGTCTCGTGAGACAGGAGACGACACGAACAGGGGGCAGACTCAGGACCAGACCTGGACGCCGCAGCAAACACCTGACCCGACGTAACTACCCTACCAGACTCAGCAACTGGAGGAGACGCAGTGGT